ATCCTCTGGGCGGCCCTGCCCAAGGATTGCTGAAAAGTGCACACCCAGTGTCCGGAGATCTCTGATCAGAGCACTAACACGTACATGATCCGACTGAGACCTTTCATAGACATGCTCATCCCTGATCCCGTTCTTCTCTCCTAAACCATTGCTTTTGTGGCTGACATCAATGACACCCATCTTGTTCTCCTCCAATTGCAGCTCTGTGCTATGGCTCTGCTCCTACCCAAAGGCAGCTCAGCTCCCGTCTCTTAACTCTCCTTAAGTAACCCGTCCCTCTGGCTGACAGCTTACTGCTGCCAGCAGGGCCGGCTCCAGGTATCAGCTTAACAAGCAGGTGCTTGGGGCGGCCAAGGGAGGGGGGCAGCACCTGCGGCAATTCGGGGGTGGCAGGTCCCTCATTCCCTCTAGGAGCGAAGGACCTGCCGCTGAACTGCCGCCGCCGCCGATCGCGGCTTTTTTTTTTTTCTTTTCCCACTCAGCTGCCCCCACTTCCCCTGTTTTCACCGTCTAACAGGCCAAAAAACACTATCTCTCACTTGCCAAGATAGTGCTTACCATGAGTTTGGGGCAGATGGCTTTTTCCAGCCTGTAAAGAGTCAGTAAAAAACCATGCAGCAACTTAATTTATTTTGAATATAATTTAGACTGATCAAATGCAGCTGCAGTCCTAAAAACGCTGCCCTGCGGAAAACCAGCCACTGTATCAGTGGTATAAGAAACCTTTTTGTATGGATACATACTGATTGGGAAAGTTTAGATAAGATATTATCCACTTCAATAAAATCCCTTTATGGTTATTTAAAGCAGGGCATTTCATAATCAGTTTTTGATAGGGGATTTATTTAATCAAAAACCTTTCTGAAGTCCATGAAAACAGCTTTCCCTCATTCTGATCAATAATGTGACAAATCATGGATGATTTTGATAAGAATTGTCTTATGGTGCACTAACTTTCTAAACTCACGCTAAGATAGTCTCGGTCACGCTTCAGTTGGATGCAAGGCCTGCGGTAAAGAAAGTTAGATAATTGTAACTTTGAAAGTTATTTTCCATAGCTTCACATGGAGAGGGAAGAATGATTCAGTGGTCTAGATACAAGACTGGGAGCCTGAGTTCTAAAGCTGGCTCTGAGCAGGACACTGAAAATCAGGCTATAAGATATTGCCCAAACCAGAGGCAATAAGCACCTGCAACTCCTGTTGGCTTCAGCAAGCTGTGCAGGGGCTGAAATTGTGGAAAAGCAGCATCACTTGCCCCATAACCTCAGCCATACAGAACACAATGCCATCCACAGCCTCAGAAACAACTCTGATGGCTACCCTCCGGGAAACTGAGCCACAAGATTTTCAGTCTCTGTAGAAGAATGCCTATATCAAAGAGGTACTGGAGATTATTTCACAGGATACCATCAAACTAAGTCACCTTTCTGAAAATTGTAGATCTACTGTACTTACAACCATCACCTATGGTTTCTGCAACAAATATATTAGTGATCATTTTTCGGTTTACATGTTGCACTTGGAAACCAGTTCCGTAGTCAGTTTTGCTGTTTATGCTGTATAGTCCTTTAGGACCTGACCACAAAACAGAGATATTTACATGAACAAAGCCACATACATATGTAAACATTTGTTGTTTTTCCATTGCTGAAATGGCCTTGCAAATAGGGAAGCAGAAAACACACACACAAAAATCAGTATTGGCTAAAAAGATGCTCCATCATAAACTGATTTTTTTCATTAGCCAGTTTTATAAAAAAAAAATTGAGTTAATGGTGTCACTTTCTTCTTTGTTCAGAACAGTCTTGAAAGATTGTTACTGTATAAGTCTGATGTAATTATCCTAGTAATAAGATATTTGAAGAGGTTGTACCACCCGGTATGAAAATCGGGATAATGATTTAAATTTTCCAGTCTATTATCTGAGTTACCATTATGAGGATGATATATAAAATCTTCAGATATTGGCTAAGCATCGTCCCTCCCTCCTTAGAGGCAATATTTAAATCATTAGAACCTCTCCAACCTGGTGCTTTTGACAAAGTATAAATGTCATCACTATCAATCTCAACAACCTCTGTATGACAATTAACATTAACACAGTGACCTTCTCCACAGTTAGATTTCATTAGTAAATTACAACTGAAAAAAAAAATAGAGTGACATTGGTTAGCCAAATTGGTCCGATTATCTACCTCATCATTCGTGATGTTAGTCAATGCCATACAGGGTAAAGGAAACCCCAGTGATCTGGAGCACAGTAGAAGAGATCATTAGAGGCAGCACTAGTGCCCCTTCCTCCTCCTCCAGTGAAGTAAGCTTTAATTTAAAGCAACTGTTCTTTACAGAGATGACATGCACAAGTTTGCAGATGCTGGTTTTTGTTGCTCCTGCAAAAGTGTGATTGCACCCATTGTTTAAGACACCTAATTTGTGCAAGTTTTATTTGAAATACAAATCAGGAAATTACAGGGCAAACCAAAAAGCCATGGCACAATTGCAGTTCCTGTGTTGGAGAGTTATAGAGACTGTTTCTTTCAGTAGCCCCTGGAAGGCATAAACTACTGCAAAAGGGAGCAGTGAGGAAGCAGGACTGAGCTGTCCATTTCTCCCTCTCCACCACCATGCGGAGCTGGCTGGACACAGGGGCTCATGCTGTACCTTGTAAGGACTGGTGTAGTACGTGCACTCCCTCTATGAGGGATTATGCCTCCTTGGGAGTGTTGCAGTTCCTGAGTGTACAGTTAGCTGCATGCAGAAATCTGGGCTTACAGGTCCCAATCAGGCGCCAAATCTCAAACTTTGACCTTCACCATTACCGGTGTAACACTAGTTTCCATCTTAGCCCCTTAAGACAATCGATCAGCCCGTGATTTGTGTTGAAGGCTAGAGAATCTGACAGTGATTCTGGTGTTCAAAGAGTTGCAGGAAGGCAAGAGGATGAGCACAGTGGCACTTGCTGAAATACTGAGTGTGTTGGGATGCTGGCATCAGAATCCTTGTTCTTTCTCTCTATGTGCAACAACTGTGGAAAACCCTCCAACCATCTGCCAGCGCCTGCCTATCTGATAGATATCATGCAACATCAAACACCTGTGTGCCAGATCTGCACAGTTTGCACGAATGTCACTGCTGTTTTGTCTCAAGAAAACACTGCATGCCAAGTGCTTTACTTGCCCATTTCAAAGAGAACAGAATGTAGTTAGGAAGCTTCCGTTTTCTTCATGTCGCACTCAACTCCCTACTCTTCCCCATTTGGAGAGGGAAGGAGGGTTGACAGGGGTTCTCATGCTGTGGCAGTTTGTGATGAATACTAATGCATCAAGACTTAATCCAACCAGAGGAAAACATTTGGCCCAATGTAGTTACTGCTTAAAATACTTTAAACCCCCTTGCAGACATCAGGTTGGTTGGTTTACTTCATCAACATGGATATTTGGAATCAGATATTTTGCACAAGCTCACTAAAGTCCATTATATTACCCTAGTGGAAGGAAGAGAGAGACATCCTCTATCAACTTTTCTCCTTTGTTTAAACTATTGCAAGAGACATCTAGAAATTTGCAGATGAAATGTGATCCAAACCTTGAGAAGAAAGCAGTATGGAAGGAAGGATCTTACAGTGGGATGCCTAACCCACTCCATTGCCGTCCAACAAGCTTGATTTCCCTTGGCAAGTGACAAATACACAGCATATTCAGAACACCAAGAACGGGTTCATCTTTCACCAGGAAAGTTAAAACTGGATTACAGAACTGGTCTCCTCCACCCCCTTCTTCAAAATTCCTCCACGCAAACATGAAGGAACAAAGCACAATATCCTGCAACATTCAGATAGCACTGAATGCTGCCACAGGTAAAGTTATTCAGCCTCCTTGAATGGAGGACAAAAACGTACTCGTCCCACACTTTCTAACACTTGCCATTAATGCTATTGATTTGTTGGAACTTTTTATTAAGGCAAAGTTACAACAAATCATTATAACATACTACATCATACATTATTTATTCAGGATCAGGTTAATAGTCAAAGAACCTGGCTAAAGATTCTGACTTGCTGGCTGGGTAGTTGGTGAAAAAGCTTTTCAATTATATGGACAGTCCATATTTTATGATAGCACAATTCCATAAGAGGAAAGGTCAGATTTTTCCAATAATATGCAATATAAAGTCTAGCTGCTAACTATAAACAAATAAATTAATTGTATGTCCATTCAGATTTGTACACATCAGGAAGTTTTATGGTGGAGTCCCCATGAATTTAAGGTCTGATTTGATTCTGTAAGTCAAAAGCCCTGGTTGATAAATTCAGCTGTGCATAAAATTTGATGCAGAGCAAAACTAGCCATATGGGTATCAGTGGGTGGAGATTTGCACTGTTTTGAAGAAAAAATAAGTCTGGGGAGGAAATCAAAGACAAAACAAAACAAGACATTTTGAAACAATCACAGAATTACATATTATAAAAATATTTCTGAAGTTTGTACAAAGTGCCGAAAGCTTTCTGTTTTGTGGCTGACACTGCAAAAGTTACTTAAGAGGTAAAGTATGTATTTACTATGCACTTAAGAGATGGAAACATTGATAATGGGCTTGTCTTAGGGTCAATGAACTAGTTTGAAAGATTATCATTGGCTTGTCTTCTTCTTATCTTCTTGGGTTTCCCACTTCTACCGTGAGTGGGAATGCATTGTAGATGTCTAAACAGCTGCCTATGCCTATTAAAAGCATGCCACCTGAACAGAAAAATGAATGTAAGAAAACAAACATACCACAATCAATCCATATCCTGAATTCAAAGAGTGCTCCAGACAATACAGCTACATCAGACGAGAGATGGGAGTATTGGCTGTTATTGGGTCAGTAGCTCATTGGTGCATAGAAATAAGAGTAGAGCTAGATACAGCTTGCACTGTAATGCAGCCTTGTTCAGGTTTCAATCACAAAACATTTAAACCAAAACCACAGTGCTGTTTATAAAGTATAAGATTCCCCTACCTGCACATTTTGTTCTTGTCGTGAGTGGAGGCCCAGGGGGCCCTGTGCCCCCTTCACCAGGACGGGTGAGGAGCACTCTGATCTCATACTCCACATCGGGGTCCAGGTGCCACAGTTTGTAATTTGGCGAGTCTACGATGTGTGTTTCTACCCAGTTCCCAGTGGTTGTACGGTACTCCACCTCCTTCAATATTATAGGCCCATCTCCGATGATAGAATTGGCGTTGGGTTTGATCCATAGATAGGTGGCGCCGACAGCCAGCAGTTCAGGGGGCGCAATGGGCGTGGGAGGTTCTGCAAGCAACAAAAAATTAGAAGATGCTTGTGAAATGTGTTAAAGTCCACTCAAGTTAAGCATTATTAACAATACACCATGTTCAGCAGAAAGGCTGGTCCAAACTCTGCTCTGTTATACAGGTGCACTTCTCACGAATACGTACCCGATAATACCTTACATGAGATTGAATTCCATGGAATTGAGCATAATTTGGCTTAATATATTTATTTCTAAGTGGGTGCTATAACAGACTCCAGGAGGCAGAAAGTCCTACCCTTTATGGAAAACGAGGAGCCACATAATATGAAAGAAAAATAAGTTTTATCTATTTAGAAATACTCTCACGAAATACAGCTCCTGAGCGTAGCCCAGCCCATGTACTCATCTCAAACTAGAGAACTTTATCCTCACCCAGCTCCTGAGTCATTTACCATAGAGTGATTATTAAAATAAAATACTGTAATTTGAAAAGTTCAACACTGTTGCCACAGTTATTTCCTACTCTTAGAGGAGAAAATGCAGTGTATCAAATGGCACTGTATAGCTGTGCGCAAAGACCATGTTTTTATCGGTGACCACTGTATTTAGGAAATTCAAAATGCCATTTTAATAAGAAGCTGCAGTTTTAAAATAGGATAAATTTTTAGACCAAATTAGTTGACAATGTCTTTAAAAATACAATTGAAAATGTATTTAAATGCCTGAAGGGTCTTTGCCTGTTTAATAGTAACACAGAGTGCTGCTGAAATTCAACGTAACTACATTACAGCTTTGGTGGGGCTAAAAGAGAAACTGAGACAGTGAATTAACAAACACTATTGTTTTCCAGAGCAAAATATGTTTAACTTCATGAGTGATGGCAATAAATCCAAGTCTGCGTGAGACTTGAAGACTGCATGGGAGAAGTCTGAGAAGCATCATCAGGAGGCAGGAACCAGACGGGTGCAGATTACCTCTGTGATAAAAAGGAGAGCAAGTCAGCAAGACGGCTTTCCAGCACCCTTTGATTAAATCCTCAAAAAGTCTACAGGGGCCTGGCAACCTGCCTCATTTTTTGTACTATCCCTGTATACATAACACTGGCATATTGGAAGCCACATGAATACCATATGCCTTGTGGTTTTGAAAACCTGAACTGAAATGTGCAAGATTCTGAGTGATTTCTTTAATCACATCTGGTCTGTTTTCCACCCCTCTAATTTGGTTTGCCCTCAGCCCAGAGGACACAGAAATTCTCTTTGCTTGTGAAACTAAGGAGATAGACACAGCAGACACCTTTTTTCTTAAGGAAAGAAGTCCTATAGAAGTTAGTGACACAGAGCCTTTTAAGTTTCAGAAATAGATTTCTGTAAGAGTTACTCTAAAAACCCTTTTGAATTGAATAGAATGATAAGCTTTCCTCCTGTGATTAGTTAAAGGAATGAATGCCTTGGCTGCAAACCACAGAGAAGCTCAAGAGATATGCATTGATGGGGAATGAGAACAAACATTGGGGTGTGCAGAACATTCCTGAAAGTGTGGAAATGCTCCCACTGAACCTTAGGAAGCACCGTAGTCCCCCATTCCATAACTTACAAGGTTCAGTGTAGGGGCATGGAGTTTACCCAAAGTCATAGGAGATCCTGCAATTCCCCACTTGAAATTTTTGATGGAGAAAAAACCCAACTCCATTGACAAGCCTTCTTAGCCAAGGGGTTTTTACTCTGAGCTTAAATTCTGTAGAGCAGGGGTAGGCAACCTATGGCATGGGTGCCAAAGGCGGCACGCGAGCTGATTTTCAGTGGCACTCACACTGCCCGGGTCCTGGCCACCGGTCCGGGGGGCTCTGCATTTTAATTTAATTTTAAATGCAGCTTCTTAAACATTTTTAAAACCTTATTTACTTTACATACCACGGTAGTTTAGTTATAGATTATAGACTTATAAAAAGAGACCTTCTAAAAACGTTAAAATGTATGACTGGCATGCGAAACCTTAAATCAGAGTGAATAAATGAAGACTCGGCACACCACTTCTGAAAGGTTGCTGACCCCTGCTGTAGAGCATCAGGGCCTTAGATTAAAAGCCCTCTAGCAAGACACCTGGGCCTGGATGCACAAAAGGAGTTAGGTGCTTAAGTCTCTGTTTTAGGCACCTAAGGGTATGTCTACACCATGAGGGAGGAGGGGCCCAGATTCTGGGCTCCAGCCCGAGCCCAAATGTCAACACTGTAATTTTCTATAGCCCCACAAGCCTGAATGAGCTGACATGGGCCAGCCATGGGTGTTTTATTGCAGCGTAGACATACCCTAAATCCCAGTTTGGTGACCAATGTAATGCACAAAACTCCTGCTGAACTCTGCTGGCACCTAGACTCAGTTGACACCTAGCTTTTCAGGGTACAAGTTCCCTCGGCGCCTATGTTTCTGCCTCTGGACATGTGCGCTGCTGCCTCCCTGTAGGCACCCAGATACCTATCTTTCACTTAAGCCATAAAGTGATTCACAAACCAGGGGAAGACAGGCATTTGGACACCTAAGTCATGTGCCGGGCCCAATCCTATAGGTGTCCTCTGGGCATGGCTACCGGGTAGGGCCCCTTAGATGAGTTCACACAAAACAGCTGAAGGAAGGGAGAAGGAGGAGGTCCCTCGGAACGTTTAGCACATACGGGCACCCTGACCACTGGGCTGAAAGTTATGAGGGAGGTCCTCCTCCTCCCTCCTGGCTTCTTGTTAAAATGGTGTAGATCAGTGGTTTTCAACCTTTTTTCATTTGGGGACCCCTAAAAATTTCAAATGGAGGGGCAGGTCCCTTTGAAAATCTTAGGCATAGTGTGTGGACTCTCAGGTGTCCGTGGACCACAAGTAGAAAAACCACTGTTCTATGGTAATGAGAACCTTTCACAGACCCCTTAGACGTAGGCTGTGGACCCAGACTGAAAACCACTGGTGTGGGCACCTGACAGCAGGAGAGGGGTCACAGCTGAGAATCGCTAATAGCATTGCAGTGATAGGCTTAGCACCCTCCCCTTCTGGTCAGCATCTCCCATTAGCTAGCCTAGGAGGGCTCCCTGCCTAGCATACTTGTGATTTGCAGACTAAGGCGCCTGTCTCTCCCCATTCATTGTAGAGGGGCCTAGGCGCCTGACTTTGGCTTTGTGAAGCACAGCGATTTTCTAGGTGTTTAACTCCTTTTGTGCATCCAAGCCCCTTGTCTGTAAAGCAAGTAGAACTAGCATGATGATCCATAAATAAGTAATAAAGAGCTGAACAAATAATCTAATGAATAAGTAATTCAGTAAATTCCAGCCCTATTTGTGGTTTGTTAGCATAAGATAATTTTCTCCGATTAATCCGTTACTCAACAAAATGTATGGTGAATGTTATTTACTCTGTGGCTTGCTATTCAAAGTCTGAGCTGTGTTGCTTCACTGGGATCAACCATAGAAATCACACTATTTGTTCCCTGGAAGAATGAGCAACTCTTATCATCACAATTCTAATTGGAGTGGTAGATATCCCCCAAAAGCAAACAAAACAGTGTGAGAAATAGTTTGTTTAAAATGCAAACAAATGTTTGCAAACCTAGTTTTTGCCCCTTTCTCCAAACTCCAGGCAGAAACTTTTTAGTGTCAAAAAGCTAGGGGTTTACATTAGGGACGTCTCCAACAAATCTATTTTCAAAAAAAAAAATCAACCATGGGTAGCTAGATTTTCATTAAAAATATGAGCATCAAACTGCTTAATATTGATTTTTCCCCTCTGCACCGTAATTAAAAGATGATCTTACAGATTTATTTTTTTATGCCAAAAAAAAAAAAAAAAAAAAAGACGACGGCATCTTACAAGTCAAGTTACATCCCAAGTTAGGAGACAAATGAAATATTAAGCCCCAAACTCCTAGGTATCACATAGTATAATAGCAACATTATGTAAATTACTTTGGGATTTGGTTGAGGATTAGAAAAAAGATTTACCGGTAGAACAGTTAAATTAGTAGAGCTCCATCTTCTCTACACATTCAAAGCAAGTTTAGATACTCTAAGGATTAGCAAACCGCTTCAGAATAAGAAATCCACAGTGCTCTCCTCCATCCCCTTTCACCTCCACCCTGGATCAACACAAACCTTTCTGAAGGGTTTGTCCAATGTTTTCTTGTTTCCATCTATTTTTGCCCTTTCAGGTTCTGACTAGGAGCAGAAGTGCCAAAATATCATAAGAAAATGATGAAAATTGCTTAAGACTGTCAAACCCAATTCTAAAGATTCAAGGAACTTGAATGAACATTAGTTGAACAAATTATTTTGGCCTCAATCCTGCACCACTGAAGGCAACAGGAGCTTTTCCATCACCTTAAATAGGACTAGGACCAAGACCTTAACCTCATTCTGTACCTAAATATTGAAAATATTTCACCTTAAAGAATAAAGCCATTATTTATCAGAGCAGGCACCTGGAGCAGGAGCAGTATATATGTTGTGACCTATGCAAATAAACTGCACTTGTAACGATTACAAATTGCCTGCTTGATGCTGCTATGAGCTGGCGATTCTAATTAACGTTTATGTGATCTTATCAGTGATTTTAAATGCTTATTAAATGGAGTGGTGACAGATTGAGAAACCCCACCTAAGTGAAGCCAAGAGAAGAATGGAATTGAGAGCATCTGAAGAGATGTAGCCAAAGAGACAAACAAAAAAAGACATTACGTATATCAAAAGTGGGAAATCAGCAAATCTGCTAACTCCCAGAGTAAAGAAGTTCTGAAGAGGATACGTCCATTGCAGAGGCTAAATTTTTTCTTTGCATCAGTCTTCATTACAACATTGTTGGGCAGATATCTGGAAAAGAATAGGTTCAGGGTAGGTAAGGATGATGCAATTTCAGAGATTGGGGTGTCAAGAAAAAAAGAGAGAGAGAGAGAGAGAGAGAGAGGT